AAACCCTATCTAACTTTTATTATTTTTTTAAATACACTACCCTAACAGAATCCTTCATATGACCTGTCTATTGTAATACTTCCGACTTGTGCTTTAATTAGTAATCAGTTTACATTAAATGTTTTTTATCATGACTTCTCATTGCTTAATTAATCTTAAGTAAATTTTAAGCCACCCGAAGCATCGCATAGTATAAGTGGCTTTGGCATACTGCTCTTATCTGTATTTTTTTGTACCTCTGTATGTGTGCACAAATTTATAATAAATAAATAAATAAATAAATAAATAAATATGAAGGATGAGGTGAGTCATAAAATTGATGAGGGGGAAAAAGGTGAGTGGTGCACTTAGGAGTCAGTGGAGACAAAAACTTTGTCCGTGGAAGCAAAGAGGGGAATGAATGAGAGTATAGTTATACCAACACTTATATGGGTGTGAAGCATGGATGATGAATGTTGCAATGATGAGAAGGCTGGAGGCAGTGGAGATGTCATGTCTGAGGGCAATGTGTGGTGTGAATGTAATGCAGAGAATTCATCGTTTGAAATTAGGAGAGCTGCGGGATCAAACAATTGTCCATAGAGCTGAGGAGAGGGTTGATGAGTGGTTCTAACATGTAGAGAGAATGAGAAGAATGTGATCAAAAAGAATGACTTTAGAGTGTAAAAAATTTGAGTGGAGGGAAGGCGGGCAGGGGTAGGGTCTAGAAAAGGTTGGAGGGAGGGGTAAAGTGGGTTTTGTGTGCGAGAGGGCTTGGACCTTCCAGCAAGAAGCGTGAACTTGTTGATAGGCAGTGAAATGGAGATGAAGTGGTTTTTAATACTTGACGTGCTGTTGGAGTATGGTGAGCAAAGTAACAATTTACAAAAGGGATTCGAAGAAACTGGCATGGAGTCCGGACTAGAGTCTGGAAGATGGGAAGACAGTGTCTGCACCTCAGAAAGGAGGGGTTTTAATGTTGCAGTTTCTAGCTATTGTAAAGCACCCCTTTTGGTAAGACAGTAGAGGAATGAATTCGTGAAAGTTTTTCTTTGTGGGGCCACCCTGCTTGGGTGGGAAAATCGGCCGATGTGTTAAATAAAAAAATAATGATAAGCTGTAATTATTCTCTACAGAACTTACTAAACCATATATATGAACAGGGAGTTGGGGGGCGGGTTTCAAATTTACTTATATTCATTGTAACTCACCGAATGCCATAATTTAACATTACTGACTGCATGTTATTGCCTTAATAAAGTTAGTCGTAATTTTTGCCCGAAATATTCTTCATATTAAGGAGCTTTTGGCACGTTCACCGAATTGTTACACTCTTTTGTACAAACATGTATCTTGCTAAAATAAATTTGTCATTGTCATAGACTGCAAGGTTGTCTTGTGTTAAGTCTGCAGTTATGTATGGCTGTGTGCCTTAATATTTGTTTCTGGTGTATTTCTTGAGTAATGCTGTAGCCAAGTAAGATGTAATGTCTCCGGATATTTTTGTGTTTAATCCTAGAATTTGAGAGCTGTGAAAGTGCTTTTAACATTTTCTCATATTTTGTCAATTCTGTTTTTTATTTGTTTGTATTTTTTAATTATCGTAGAATAGTGGTTAGTGTTGTTGAGTATCCCTTCTTTGGCTTTGGTCTGTATTTATACTGGATATTAGCTTCTCAGTACTGCATTAATTAGTTATTCATAATGTATTATCATTGTGTATGGCAAAGATAAATAAGTATGGCATTTGCTATCTTTACGCTAGATCTCTGTACTGTACTTTGAACTTCTACTGTAGTATTTGGCCATTAGTGTCATGATTGTTGAGGCAAGTAATGGTGCAAGAACATAGTTTCAATTTTGTTGTTTGCAAGGACTTTTTTTTGAAAGGTTGCAATATACCATTAGTACTTATAAAGTTCATCAGCAGTGTTGGTTGATTGTGCTGAACAATGGCAGGTTGATTAAGATCAGTAATGGTATGCATATAAAATATTTACTTAAGAAATAAATGAGTTTTTTTATAAAAGAAATAGGCCAGCAAAAATAAGTAAGAGTCATGGGGTTACTTTTATAGCATATGATGCTGTCCATAACATCTGCATGTACACACAGATTTGAGAAGTGTGATGGTTGAGAAATGTCTAGGGAAATGGTGACAAGTTAGTGTAGTTATATCATTTTTTTTTTCATTGCTTTAATGTGATGTAAAACAAAATTTACCAGATTTTGTCATCGCATAATTTTTCCCTGCATGATATTTTCTTTGCAATGATTTTTTGTATTTTTTACATAACTCTATTTTTAGTCATTAGGATGAGATTGATGGATTTAGATATCTTTATTATGCACCCAACACCCATCAGTTTGCTGCAGCCAAAATATTATAGGCATGCATAATTGATTCCAGGGGGACTGAAGGAGCAACATTCTCTTTTTAAACATAGGAGTTTTTCTCTTGTCTATGAATATTGAAGTTTTTTTAAGAATTAACTGTTGCACCTAGGCACCTATGCCTTTTTTCCAAATATCTGTATAGTACAAGAAGAAACTGTACAGTATGCAGGGTGCTATAGAAAATCCTTTCTTAGTTGCCTTCAGTTGGAAACATTATTGGAAAGGCCTTCAATGCATGAAGGTATACAATATCTCTTAATATTTTTGTTTATGAAATAACTTGTGATATTTTCCCAGCAGTGGTGGAAAGTTAAAGATGACATGCATCACAGAATATGATGACCTTTGGAGTAAGATCTTGCAGAGTGAGCAGTCTTTACTATCACGTAAATATCCTACATGCATTCAAGGGAAGACTGTGTCAGTGTTTAGTATCTCGTGTCATAGCTCAGCATTCCTCCAGCTCACTCAAGAATTGACACAAACACAGAAGGTATTTCAGAATCTGTATTCCAGGTAGTATTTGAAAGATTTAATCTATATACTTTGTCACTTTTTTTTTTTAATACAGCCTCTCCTCCCTTAGCGACATACTTGTTTACCAGCACTTGGACTTACGATGGGCACTCTCGCCAGTATGTATACCTAAGTAATGTATATTAGAGCTGATTTCCTTAATTTTGTTTGTTACAGTATACAGTATACTACTGTATAAACATTTAAAAATATACTAAAAACATTATGAATGGTGCAAACATGACATTAAAACAATACAGGTCTGCCATCACAATCAGTTACCCGGTTCCATCAGTTCTTCGGCACTAATTTCGGCTAGCATAATTTTAAATTTCCAGAGTCGCCACACCAACCTGCTGGTACTGTTTGGTGGTGCTACTTGCTGCACAAATCATTCCAATTTCTTTTTCTCCATTTATTGTTATAACCTGCTTACTTGTAGCCCTAGCCATGGTTCCAATAGATAAAAGAAGTGCTTCTCATTGTGTAAAGCACATACAGTACATTGTACATAAAAGATAAGGTGGCTTTGAAGCCACTGTCGGTTGCCATGAGCTCAGTCTCGTGATGCAGGGAATATGCTTTATTATTATGCTAATATCAACACTACGGCTTATTTGCCTATCACAATTGATCTAAAAACATGTTAAATACTCCAGAATTAATAATATTTGGCATAATACCGAGTGGTTCAACAGAGGTATGATGAGGATATGGGATACAAGTGCCATTCTCCAAGGCTAACTGTTATATACACTCATACTGCACCATAAAACTGAAACAAGAGAGCTATTTTCTCTGCATAGATTATCATACATAGCAGTATATGTGTAGAGAACCTAGGATAACCTAGAAATGTCAGATAAAGTGGCTTATTTCTAGTACCTGGCTTGGGCTTGCCATATGTGATTTTTTTTTTTTTTTTATTTTATGAATTTGAAGCTAAACCCATGTGGGTCATTCAGCGCAACTCGTGGTGGAGGCTTGGTCCTCCGTCTGCTTAGCGCCAGACAGATGCGCTTCCTATTTGTACTCGCTAGATATATTTTTGGTAAACATTCAATTCCCATCCAGGGCAGAAACACTGGGGGTGTTTCTTTACACCTTTTGTCTGTGATCACTCATCAGTATATGGGTACCCAGGTGTTAGTGGACTGGTGTGGGTCTTAGCCTGGGACACTTACCTAATTTGCCTGAAATGCTCAGCATAACAAAGGGATTTCTATATACTAGTAGTATGTCACTGATGTCAGCTAGGCCTGTATACCATGTACATGTACTTGTAGTAAATAGAGATATTATTATTATTATTTTTTTTTCTCTCTGTTGTTTTTTGGGCTATCTTATTGAAACTTGAAAACATGCTTCTTAACGTACACCAAGAATGAAAGAAATCAGACCATAAATAACGGAGTTCACTTCTCAGCCATTAGCGGTATATTTTCGTATGGCTTTTGTGGTTGTATTCTTGGTTTTTTGGTCTCATTTGATAATATGGAAGATATATTACAGAAATAGATATGATTTTGATTGCTTTCAAGATGAAAGTACCTTGAAATTGAGCTCAAAGTAGCAGAAATGTTCTATTCTTTAGCAATGTTCAAAAGTAAACAAATGATGTCACTGTCCAATACGTGTGCGCCTGCCAGTCCAAATTCCAATACGCAGTCAAGAATGAGTTGGCATTATTTATACAGTTATTACAATAATGCATTTGTCTGCATAACAGTTAATCTTCTATTTTTTGTGTGAATAAAAATTCCAAATGGTAAGCAAGAGTAATATAAGAGGGGCCTTGAGCCATGACTAATGAACAGAGAAAATGTTATTTTTAGTGCCAGGAATGTCTGCATTGTTTATTCTGGACCCTATTTTGAAATTGGCATCTGTTGAAATTTGTGTGAAATTGGCCAAATTGCCAATTTCTGACCACTTGATTGGGTAGTTGAAATAGGTGAATGGGCAGTTTCTTGTACTCAGTTGACAGAATAGAAGTTAGTTTATTCAGGTGTACACAAATAGTTACATAGATTATCATACATAGCAGCTTATGTATAGAGAACCTAGGATAACCCAAAAAAGTCTGACTTATTTCCAGTACCTGGCTTGGGCTTGCCATATATGATGTTTGGTAAATTTTTTTTTCTCATTTGTTTGTTGGGCTATCTTATTGAAACTTGGGCAGTGAAGGATGGAAAGATACTTCTTAACATACGCCAAAATTTAAAAAAAAAATCGGACGATAATTAAGGGAGTTCACATCTCAGCCATTAACCACCTCTTTGTGGTATAAATGTATTTTTGTATGGTTTTTATGGTTGTATTCTCATTTTTTTGGGCTCATTTGATAGAATGGAAGATATATTGCAGAAATAAATATGATTTCGATTGGTTTCGTGATGAAAAGCACCTTGAAATTGAGCTCAGAGTAGCGGAAATGTTTGATTTTTGCCGATGTTCAGTAAACTTTCTTGTGTAAGACAAGTTGGTTAATTTTATTAAGTGTATTCTAACCTAACCACTCTGTAATCTGGCACACTCAGAAATCCAGCACACGACAGGTCCCAATGATGCCGGATTTGTGAAGGCGGACCTGTATCAGAGATGGTTGACTCAAACCCACTACCATTATAGTGTACTCCTCACATAGCAACGAATTCATTTACCAACGTGGATTTAGGAACAGAACTCCATCGTTAAGTGTGGGGAGGCTGTATATTGCACAATAATGCTCTTGAAGTTCATAACCCATAAATCCAAACTAATACTGCGTAGTATTCTAACTTAAGAAGTGCCACAGCAGCCTTAATCTGTGATGATAATCCCACTGATGTATACTAAATAACTAGACCTGTTTCAACCTACCAATTCTATAGAAGGTATAAAAAGATCTATTATATATATAATTGGCTTTGTCTGTACCATCTCCCTCCTGTTAAGCTAGGAGTTATTGTAGAGGGTCACATCATGGAGGGTGCACAAATAATTGACTTGTAGGACCTTGATAAGGCAAGGGTTTACTGTCTCTAACATAGGTATAAGGCTTCGTATGTTAAGACACAGTATGCAGTTTAGGATATTTTATTAAGGAGACTTTTCAGCTACCAAAAACTTCTATCACTTCTTAGCCCCCACAGTGAGAACTGATAGTCCCTGGTGGATGTAAGATCTTTCCATTACCCCTCTAACTGTCCAAGCATAGATCTATGTTTTTTTTACATAATGTAAAATCGAACATAGATCTACGTTCTGAGCGCTAAGCGTGCGAACATAGATCTACATTCAAAGCGCTAAGCGTGCGAACGTAGATCTATGTTTGGACAGTTTAACTCATAAACAGTCCAAACGTATACATATGTTCTTACTGCTAGCGCCCCAAACATATATATACGTTTTTTTTCCTACCTCAAAATATGGCACGATTGGCCTGAGATGCCTGGTCAGCATAGAATGGGTCTTAACACTCGGTGTGCACCATATTAAAAAAAATCTAGGAAAAAAAAAAAACCCCGACTTAGTACCTTGTGAGAGTGCCAGTTAAAATGAGCACCAGCTAGAGCAAACGGTGTGGCAAACACCAAGGATTCACTGATGTAATGTCATATTAACAATCCCCTTTTAAGAGGAAAGTGATGTTACCCCAAGTTTAGGGTCTGTCTATCTCTATCTATCTCTTCTTATCTGTCTCACAGGTACACATAAATACAATTATACATAGTGTAAATTACCTAGGATATCCTAAAAAATCCAAAGTGCTATACTGTGCTTGTAGATGTAATGCATAAGAATACCTGTTGGTTCACAGTAACTCAGAGAGAGAGAGAGAGAGAGAGAGAGAGAGAAAGAGAAAGAGAGAGAGAAAGAGAGAGAAAGTGAAAGAAAGAGAAAGCGAAAGAGAGAGAAAGAGAAAGAGAGAGAAAGAGAAAGAGAGAGAAAGAGAAAGAGAGAGAGAGAAAGAGAGAGAAAGAGAGAGAGAGAGAGAGAAGAGAGAGAAAGAGAGAAGAGAGAGGAGAGGAGAGAGGAGAGGAGAGAGAGAGAAGAGAGAGAGAGAAGAGAGAGAAAGAGAGAGAGAGAGAGAGAAAGAGAGGAGAGAGAGAGAGAGAGAAAAGAGAGGAAGAGAGAGAGAGAGAGAGAGAGAGAGAGAAAGAGGAGAGAGAGAGAGAGAGGAGAGAGAGAGAGGAGAGAGAGAGAGAGAGAGGAGAAGAGAGAAAGAGAGAGAGGAGAGAGAGAGAGAGGGAAGAGAGAGAGAGAGAGAAGCGAGAGAAGGAAGAAAGAGAAGGAAGAGAGAGAAGAGAGGAAGAGAGAGAGAGAGGGGGAAGAAGAGAGAGAGAGAGAGGAAGAGAGAGAAGAGAGAGAGAGAAGAGAGGGAGAGAAGAGAGAGAGAGAGAGAAGAGAGAGAGAGAGAGCGAAGAGAGAGAGGAAGAGAGAGAGAGGAAGAGAGAGAGGAGAGAGAGAGGAGAGAGACGAGAGAGAGAGGAGGCAAGAGGAATGGAGAGAGGAAGGATGACCGAGATGGGAGAGAGAGAGGTCGTAGGAAGATGAGAGGAGGAAGAGAGAGAGAGAGATTCTGTACATAAACAAAACCTCTCAAAATCTAAGAGAGACGGAGAGAAGAGAGAGGACCAGTATGAGGAGAGAGAGGCTAGAGGGAAGCGAGGAGAGAGAGAAGAGAGATGAGGGAGAGAGGGGGAGAGCAGTGAGAGAGAGAGGAAGAGAGCGAGAGGAAGAGAGAGCAGCGAGGTAGAGAGAGAGAGCAGAGAAGAGAGGAAGAGACGAGGAGGAGGAAGAGAGAGAGTGAGAAGAGAGAGAGATAGAGAATAGAGGAGAGACCAGCTAGCAGCACTCAATTTGCATCTTTCAGCACTGCCTAGTACCAGTGTAAATGGCCCCTCTCTATGGAAATGAGGCAAATGTAGTCCCTGTTCACAAAAGAAGAGCAAAGCAGAAATCAGCAACTACAGACCAGTGTCACTCCTG